GAGTTCAATTTGCCGTGGAAGCGTTAAGTGAGGATAAGCTGCCTTACTAAACGCGCTGAGGAGCCCGAGCTGAGGACCACTAAGGCCACACCGACACACGAGTACGTTGTGTGGCCTCTCAACAAGTTTCAAGTTCCAGTTAGCAGGGGACGGACCAAGACCGATCGTGCGGTTTGGGTTGATCCTGACTATTCCGTATTCCAGTTGCAGGGTATTCGCGTGAGTAAGCACCCGCATTTCATATTAACGACTGCGATTCAGGATGTTTGCTCTGGATTTTGTATTGAGAATTGCTAAGAAGTGAAAGGAAGTGTATTTGATTGACAAGAAGTCCCTGGAATTCAGGGTGGTGCGCGTGAGAAAAAAGTGCATCCAGGATTGACCAGCATCCTGGGTGTGTTGCTCTAAGTGAGACTGGTGAGCCCATCGTTCATGGGTCCGAAAGAATAAGAACGGTTACATATTATTGACGTATATTGAACTCTGCATATTTAGGTTAGTCTAGGTTGAGAACTCCCCTCGTGTTCTACTAACCTCCCCCCAGTTGTGACCAGTGCGCGATCCTGAATTGTCGGTAGCATCCCACATACTGGAACACATTTATCCTGGACAACTCCCCGGTGAAATAACTTTTCCGCCGGATCAATCGAACCGACAGGGATAACACAAGGCCACACGTCCATTCAGGGTGACTTGTCATCCTGAGTGTCCAAATTCTGGAGGTCCCTAGATCCTGGTTGACATTCCGATTCTGGCTACGCTATACATCTCCTACACGAAAAGTTTTCACCGACATGGTGTGACCGATAAATCGTGGTGCGAGCTTATTCGCGCCCAAGTTCGTTACTGCTGCAGGTTGAATTGCAGCCGTGGATAGCAAGACTCGATCGCCCACTGCAAACTTCTCGAGGTTCGTTCGACCCCGTCGTTGAGCATATTCTTTTTGACGGTCGACCGCTGCAGTGATCGCGTTGCGCACGTACTGCACGACGAACTCACGTTCTTGCTCAAATTTGTTGACAGCCGCAGCGTCCCGTGGCTGTGGCACCGGACCGGGGTTGAAGTTCGCTTGTGTTGACACGGGTGTCTTGACCGCGTAAGACACATATTGGTACTCAATTCTACGTCGGCGCTGACGTGAGTTTATCGGTGTCCGGGATGTCCATGCTGCTATTCTCGAAGTAGGCGTCGCTCTCGTAGCGATGCGATCACGTGTGGTGTCGCCGGCTACCTCTTCAAGTGCCGCCCGCGCGGCGACACGTGTGCGCACTCCTTTCGCGGTAGCTCGCGTGACGTGTGGATACGCCATTCATCGCGCCGTGAGCACTCTCACGACTTTCGTCGCTCGCCGACACTGAACCGCGAGGTACGTGCCCATTTGTAGTTGGTCGTAATGTCTGAAACGCGGACCCGTCCGCGTCACCAGCATCACCTGGGTCACATACCGCAGGCCCGTCTCCCCCTTGAACTTCGGAAGGGCCTCGTGGCGTGGACCCATCCACGTCTTCGACATCAATTTCGTTGGTTGTATAGGAGCGCTCCACACTGAGGAGCGCTGGACCGCGCGAATTTAGAACATAGTTCGCGTAGAATGGGGTAAGGCCAGTCGATGCGTGAACCGCGTTGTTCATCGCAAACTCGACCATCGGTAAAAACGAGCCCCAAGAATTGAACGACGTGGCGAAACTCCTCAGCACATCCTCGACGATTCTGTTCGTGCGCTCGGTTTGGCCGTCCGTCTCCGGGTACGACATGATTGACATCTTCAACCGTGTCCCGAACAGCTTGAAGATCTCCACCTAGAAGGCGGCTGTAAAACACAGGTCTCGATCGGACATGATCGAGATCTGTAAGCTATGGTGTCGGTTCACGATGCCCACGAAGATCACCGATGACTGTTCCGCGGTGATATTGACGGAGACAAGAGTAGGATGTACCATCTTACTGAACCGATCCACGTAAACGAGAGCTCCTGTGCAGTCTTGAGTATATCGAGGCAGCTTGAAAACGAAGTCCATGCTCACGAAGGACTCTGGATGTGGGGAGACTGAAAGTAGCCGAAGCGGAGCTTGCTTCGACGGATTCGGCTTCACACGCTGGCACACTTCACACGAGCGCACCCACTTCTGGACCATTTGTACATGTGGGGCCAATAGAAATTTCGGGACAACGACGCGAAGGTTGTCTCGTATTCGAGATGTCCACCGGTCGGGGTATCATGAAACTCGTGAATCAGGTGCGCACGAAGGTCGTCATCCAGCGGGACGAAGACGCGTGGGGAATCCGGGCGATCGACGCCGTAGGCCAACAGGGCTGTCGTCCAGGGCGTAGTGGTCGATGCGAGCGCGACTGCGTGGGGACAACTGGCGATGTACCGTGTCTGAAGGGTCTCGTAGGTACTTGATCATCTCGGAGCATGACGCATCCGCCTCGTACGCGGACACAATCGACTCGCAAAACGGACTTATCGCTGTGACCTCAACAGCAGTGATGCCTTCTGCGACTCACACAGCGTATTCATCGTCATCCTCGTCACCAATGGCATGGCGACCCGACTGCACGTAGGCTGACCGACGCGACAGCGCGTCGGCGAGGATGTTGGTCGGGCCCGGCTTGTAGTGCACGACAAAGTTGTATTCAGCGGATAGCGAGAGCCAGCGCATCATGCGCTTGACCAGATGTGGTCTATTCGTCGCTATCCGCAGCGACGCATGACCTGTGTAGACAGCAACGTCTGTTCACCCAACAGGTACACGCGGAACTTGATGAGCGCGTAACGCATTGCCAGCAGCTCCTTGTCGTGAGCGGGGTAATTGCGCTCCGCTGTCTTCAGTTGAGACTGTTAGCTCACCACGCGTTCGCGTCCCTCGTCGTCAAACTGCATTAACGTGCTACCAAATTGCAAAGTCACTCGCGTCGCAAACGACGTGGAATGGCTTCGTGTGGTCGGTCAGCATCAACACGGGCGTAGTGGATACGTTTTCACCCCGTCAAAAGCGGCTTGGTGTTCAGAACGCGATGACTACATGGCACCTGCTTCAGCAACTTCGTCAATAGGTCACAGCGTCGCCGCGAAGTTCTTCGAGTAATGGTGGAGGTACGCCGCCAGGCCTATCCACCGGCGAAGTTGCTTCTGGTCGTTTGGAGGAGGACATGCACAAATGGCCTCTATCTTCTCCGGGTCGGCACGGACACCTTCCTTGCTGACATAGCTCCCGAGTACGGGAATCTCGGGAGTACAGAGGATGCCCTTCTTCAACTTGGCGTACAACTTGTTCTCCCTCATCAACTCGAACACTTGGCGGATGTGATCCAGCTGTACCTCGACGTTGGTCATACCGTCCTCGGCAAGACTGTGGATGAAGATATCGTTGATATCGCTGGACGTAAACTCTCGGTATGGACGTAGCAGGTTTGACACCACTCTGTTGAAAGTGGCCGGGCGTAATTAAGCCCCTGTGGCATCACCAACCATTACCATAGCATTCTGCTCGGCGTGCTGGCAGCGGTCAACGGCACGTCTTCTTCACGCATGCCGATCAGATAGAACCCGTCCACCAGATCGATGGCACTGTACTTGGTGCTGCCATACATGGTGTCGAGCACCATGTCCTTCCGTGGAATTGGCGTTTGGGCTGGAATGGAGGCATCGTTCAGCTTGTTGAAGGCATGAACGATCCGCCATCCGCCGGTGGCCTTCGTCACACAGAAGGTCGGACGGGAATGTGGTTGGAGACTTTCGCGTACGTGACCAGCTTGCAGGCGACTCTCGAAGGAGGCTTCAATTACCACTACTTGATCTCGGTGATGCGGCCACTGCCGCGTCACACCGTACTTCTCACCTGGCAAAAGATCGATCTCGTGCTGGATCCCGCGATCAGAGGGGAGGACGGCTGGGACCTTGTCCAGGAAGATGCCAATGTACTCTCGGACGAGAGGAGCGACGGGAAAACCGGAGGCCTCAAGTGCCGGCAACGATTGAGCAGCGAAGCGCGCCTCCCGGGCGCTTTCGGCTCGGCCCCTCTCGGTCGAGTCCTGGTATCGGAAGCTGGGTCATCGGCGTCGACTTCGACCGCTGCGGCTCACGCAGTGTCTTCATGCACGAGCATGGACACTTGCTCGATGTTGTCTTTCTTCAGTTGTTTAGGAAGTGTTTCCATGGGAGATCAGGCAACTGCGTGATCTTGGCTGCGTCACATGGAGGATATGCAACATTGATGTCGCACTAACGCGACGTGCCCGACGATTCCATAAGAACTGAAATGACGTCAGACTTAGTGCCAACTGAGTCTCCCGAAAGCACACGAAGTTGTTGGGGATTGCGGCGACCTCGGCGCCGAACAGGGCGTGGGTTTCGACTACGACAGCAGACGATGAGAGACCATGTTCGAGCATGACTGCGGAACTTGGGCACTGGGACACTTCAACAGGGAACTCCCGCTCGACCGCTCGTGGGAGATCACGCACAATCACTTCTTCCTGCCCTTCTTCAGGGAGTTCCCGCTCAATCCACGCGGGAACTCATGCTCAGGCGCGAGTCCAAGATCATACTCAACCACATCGTTTTCGCCCGAGAGCCGCTGCTCATCGGAACGTGAGACCCACTGCTCAACCCCGTTGGACACGTCCTGTGACCTCTGCTCAGGGCCGGCACAAGCTGCGTGTTCGCACACCGCACACGAAGGGTCATCGCACTCTTTGTGAACAGCGGAGGTCGTGGGCTCGGGTCCATGACTGTAACATGTGGACATGTGTTCGGCAGCCGGATCAGGAACGCCAACACCGCATTCACGTCAACGTCACGCGGACGGACAGTCGTGGTTAGACAGTGAATATGGGGCTGGTGATGAGCGAGCCAAGGGTTTCCCGAAGATGCAATCGAACGAGCCGTCCAGCTCGATAATCATGAAGCCGTCGGATTCGCAAAAGCCACCGTACTCGTACGAGAAGGTGGCCGAACGTCGCGGACCGCCGCGGCTTGCCCTCTGCATACTTCACAACGCTGTGACCTGGACCTTCACGTATAAAAATGTCCGTTGGTAACACCGGCAAACCTTCGGCGTGAACAAAGTTGTTTGTCACACCCGAATTCAGCAGGGGACGAATCGAACGTTTCGCGCCATCGACATGGAGACTGAGCACGATCAGCCTCGAGTCGCTACCGGAGGTGGTGGCTTACAACTGTTCATGAGGCACTGAAGGACTAGGAGGAGGTTCTGCTGCCAGAGAACCATTTCTCCATTCACGGCCAGCAGAGCGCTCCGCACCTACTGGTTGTCGCCGTTCTTTGAAGCACCGGTGACATCGTTGTCACTTGCGACATTCGCCACCACAGGCGCTGGTGCACGACACACTGGCGCGCGATAACCGGGTTTACGACAACGGAAGCATTTCATCGGACGCGACGTACGCGTCGAAGGCGATTGTGTCGAAAACGTCAACTGCCGACGTTCTCCGTAGTGTTGGATTGCGGCCACTTCCATGGGTCCAGGTCCTGACTCAGAAGCTGGGAGCACGGGACGAGAGACATCGAATGCTTGCGATGCAGCCACACTGTTGTTTTCGCGGAGAGAGACCGCAAATGCTCCATCCAGGTTACTAGGAGCCTTCCTTGTCAAATAGAAACGCTGGTAGCCAGCGTTCATACCATCGGGTGCGATGTGATGCACGATATGAGGTGTCGTGCACGTTGGATGTACTCGAGCATGGACATGCGGACCAGCTTCAGCGACAGGAAAGATGAGCGCTGGATGTTTTTATCTTGGGGCGTCTCGAACGCGAGTCGCAAGTCGGGCTTCATGGATTCCACGGTCGGGAAGCAGGATGCATCGGCAACGAGTTTGCCGAGTACCCATTCCTTTGCTTTCCCTCCAACTTGGATAGGAGGAACCGCGTACGTGCCAGCTCGGTGGAGATCTGCCGTGCTGCGACTGCGATATCCACTTCGCAGAACCACCGGTTCAAGTGGAGGCGAGCCTCGCCTTCACCACTATACGTGGAGACATCGAGCTTCACGATATCGGACTTGTTCTTGGTCTTCGTGGGAGTCGACACTCGCTGATGAAGGTTAGCAAGTTCATGCACCATGAACGCTTGTGCAGCTAGCCGCTGCTGTTCTTCCGCGTCACTCATCAGCAATGCTTTGATGACACTGTCACCCGACGCCGCTGCAAGGTGGTGTAGAGCTTCCCATGCGACCACCGACAGGTGAGGGTAGCTGGCATGTTCTAGTGAGATTCGGGACGTCGTGGACGCGTCGTTCATCTTGATCTTGATCACTGGACGGATTACAAAGTGCTACCAGATGTAACGGGCTAATGCGAACCCGTGACCGACGTACACTCGCGCTTGGGAAGTAACTAGCAAATATTACATAGATTGATTAGCGAGACGGTCTCGTGCGCCGAGACCGTCACAGCCATTAAACCTATGCTGAGTGGTGATTGAATTCTCAGACTTGGGTTCATCGATGCCATTTGTGGGACTGGCTACTTTCGCCCGGTCACCACGGTGTTGGCGCACAGTGTTGGTGTACAGTGGCGATCGTGCGACAGTAGCCATCACACAAACGGCATCGATGAAATCAAGTCCGAGAATTATATGGGTAGTCTGAGAATAGTATCGGATTTTTCCGCTTCCAATTTCAACCTCTTCTATACCAAATCACGACGGTGCTAGTAACTGCCAGAATAGATACAGAGAGTCGGGTAGTCTAGATACATCCTTCCACAATCAAGAACATTCTTCTCGAAGTCAAGTCTTGTCATCTGCCAGGGTAAACCCACCAAATTTGGTCTGGTCACATCTTCACCTTTCTTTGCCTCTTGACATTCAACCATCAACATCAACAGAACGAACATTTTCTGTCTCTTAATGGATTCTAAATGGTACGGTAGACTCAGCTGACTTGGGTACGTCAGACAACCAGTGATGTCCGCGCCAATTTTCAGCGATCCAATATATCACACTACGACCATACAGGAACAATAGCACCACAACCAGAGCGGCGTCTGTGTAGTTTGTATCATTCGACGCAGACGTGTAAAGAAGCGCACGATTTCTTCTAGGTCTTGCTTTGAGCACGGTAGTGCTCTCTTCTCGCAACAGCCGCCCTCTCGATTCGAGCAGTACTTTCCGAGTCCCGCCAGAAGTTTTTGTAGCTGTGGTTTTACTAAGCTACCTTGTAGTGGGTATTTATCTACTAACCAGTTCTTGACTTTTCGGTAGTACGCTAGACAAAGTTGGTAGACAGAATTTGGTATCGGCTCTAGCTAAAAAATAGGTATATTTGTCTAACATAATACACAGCACTTTACCTGTTTTGTAGCCATCAATGAGGGATTGTGCAGCGTCGAGCTCCATATTTTCGGTAGACAGAAACGTGATGAACGGCTTGATTGCTGTAGAGCGGGATTTCTTGCTGTTGACAGGAACTAGTGGCGTGATCACCATGTTCAATGCCCGTGTCTTTGGCTTCTTCTCGAATGCAATGAAACCTACTGTACCGATCGTTATTATTGGAAACTGCACGATATTATTCAGAATAACCAGTAATAATGATATTTGTATGTGATAGAAAATATTTCCAAAATTTCCGACTGAATATAATTGGAAGTCTGAAATTGGAGAGTGCCTTTTAATTGGCTAAAACCATGCCATTTCG